TTAAATTTTTAAACATGATTTGAAATAATCGTTACTCATATTCGATTATTTACGTTTTCATCGATTAATAATCATATTGATAAGAAAATAGGTTTTTTTTCTAAGTTATCGATATATATATATATTCGATAAAAAAATATTTGAAATGATTTTTATTTAATAATATATTGATAAATCTCGAAATAAAATGTTTAATTAAATTTAATTCTATATCGAACAATCGAAAATTGAATTTGTTTCAGATTTTATTTCAAAGACTTTTAAATAAAATAAACAAAAAAATCTCTTAAGAAATCTTCATTTGATAAGAAGTGAAAAAGAAAATTTTTAATTAAAAAAAACTAAAATAAAAAATGATATGTTAATAATAAAGTCGATTAAAATGATATATATATAAATAAAATCTTCTAATAGAATGTTACCTTTAAGGATATAATCGAATTTGGCTAATTTGACATAATCATAAATAAAAGAAAAAACTAGAAATAAGTAAATGAAATGAAGCAATAAGATCATTGATAGTTGATGGATAAATTGTTTTAGCTGATGCATATATTGTCCATATAAGTGAATATGAATCTTGATGTGAACATTTATTTAATTTATTTTTTATATTTAATTTAGGATTTATTTGATTTGATGTTCTTTTATATTGATTTCCACCAAATCTTTCAATAAATATTTTTGTATATTTTTCAAATATAATTGATCATATATTAAAAACATGTTCAGCACTTGATCGATTTTTGATCAAATTGAATCAGGTAAATTGACCATATCTTCACATTTATGTAATTTATCAAAAAAAAACAAATAATTTTAAATGATTAACACTTTTTAATAAACGTGATAGAGATATTGGATTATTCTGATTTGTTGTTAGATGTTTATATCTTCTACATGATACATATAATGAAATAGCTAACCAATGTAACTGATCACCTTCTAGAACATAATGCTTACGAATATGTTCATATGAACGCCATCATCTAACTTTGTTTCCATATCCATATTTAAATCAAGACATGATTTTGAATATAACATTTCAATTGATTCATCATCTTTATTTGACATTTTAGCTTTTTTTTATTCTAAAATAATCAAAAAAAAACAAAATGATTGACATTGGCTGTGGGTGTGGGTATTTTACTTACACCAAAGATAGAGACGAAATGTTTTTGTTTTGCTGATTCATAAAGGGTGCAACAAATATCCATGTTTCCATTCATTTACACAAATTGAAAAAGAATCAGAAGGCCATCACTATCATCCTCATTATCATTAAAATTGACAAGAAAAATTTTAAACCATATGCTAGTGGCACATCGTCCTCTACGACAAGTAAGTCAAATAAGTCATCCACAGCTGCAGCACCAACGATAGTTGTGAGTAGAAGAGCTGGATGTGGGTATGAGTGTCTTTTTTTGTTGAACACCCACATATACACCCTATTAGAGCTGTAACAAGAAGCGATGAATATTTATGTGTCTATTCTTATCTACATAAAACTGTGCATGGGTATAAATAGAAAGTTTTTTTTTGTTTAATTTAGAAGAAGTCGATGGCCATATAAAGGTCATACCTTCAATAATAAGTTGTTTCGTTGCAATAGGATTGTTATCAGTGACTGTTATGATCACATCAACAATGAATTTCTTTCTTTATCACCATCTATCGTTGTTTGGCATCAAATAAAATCACTTAGTATTATACTCAACCATTCAATTCAACTCATCTTTGTCTTTTTGCAAACGACTAATCTACATACTCTGGAACTGCATTATAGATCAGAATATGATACTAAACGTTATTTGAAAGAGAAAAACTTAATCTATCTATTCGATAATATTTCTTTGTGCAGAATGCTTATGTCAAATGGCTTACGATAACTCAATCTTTTTCCTGTTTTGTGACAACCAAATTTGGTAAACATTGCCTATTTAATTGTCGAGCTACTTCCTCATTTGCAAGTCATTGTTCTTACTATTAATGGCGAAGATGAATATGATCAACTTTATGAGAAACAATTGCATGATCTGCAAAGTTCAAATACTCATTCTTTATATACTTTTTGTATGATTATAATAAAATGAAACTGCTAATATTTCTTTATTTCTTTGTACTTAGACGTGTTTTGTGAAAGAATCATAAGAAGTTTTCAACATGAATAAAGCAAAACTTTTTAAATTTTGTTTCGTAAGTTAAATCAGATGAAAAGATCTTCTGTGTTTGATATTAAATTATACTAATATTCTTTATTAGTTGTACAATAGAATGTATACAAAAATTACTCCTACATGAAAACAATAACATTAATATTTGACCAAAAGATATTTTTTATTATTAATAATCAATTTATTTCCAGTTACATTTTGATACCAAACGCTATTTTAATTCCTCTTTCCTTTATCATCTTGTTCTATTTCCTTTCTCACATATAACTGACTGAAAATAAACAACTTGAAATGTATTCTATTTTTGAATATTCTTACAATAAATAATTATATTATTTCAAATTTATCCTTATATTAATATTTTAAAAGTTAAAACTTATTACAACATTTCATTGTTCAATAACAGTAACATATTTAAACTAGACCTCTACTCAAACTAAGCACGAGTAGAAAAGACGCCTGACTGCAGAATTTTCATAATCCTCATATATGTTCATAGTTATTTTTTAAAATCTAATTTATCTCTTATTAATAAATGAAGTTGGACATTGATTGATAACGAATATCAATTGCATATCCCTTTATTAGAACATTATTGTTCTTTTTACTTTGTATATATAGTAAATCTTCGAGACTCTTTCATGGATAAAGTTAATTTATACAAAACGATAATTAACGTGTATATGCATATAAGATACGACATATCAATGGTCACTAAAATACTAAGTCATTTATAACTATATAAAGAAATTACCAGCTGTTAATTACCATTTATTTTTGTTCTTGCATCTTCCGCACGGGTGCCAAAGAAAAATAAATTTCAGATGTGCTCTACGCACATTCTCACGAGTTTGACAAGCTTTTTTGTGGGATGTGGGTAAATCTCCTGTTTCTGACCTCATCCAAACTCACCCACACCAAAATCAGTTTTTTCAATGTAGAAACTCTCAGTTACAGCTGATAGTTTGATGTAAGAAACCTTACAAGCATTTGTCTCATTACCATTTTGATGTAGATAAACATATATGACAAGTTAATCTAAGAAGACAATGAATTTATAAACTGTTCATTGATTGAAATATATAATTTTGTAGAATGCATCAATCTGGTTCAATGTTATTTTCCTATCGTACTAATCTCCAATAACTAATTTCATCTTACATTTCATTGAGAAGATTTTTTTTCATTACAGCTTTATGTGTTTTTATCTGAATAGATTTAATACAAAATTTATCGTTTCAATGGAATAATATTCATCATATTAGATGATTATGATTTTAATTTTGTAACATTCTTTATATTCCTAAAGGTATTCATATTGACAATCTTATGGTTGAAAAGTTTCCTGTTTTGAAATTTTGTTGTCTCATATCCTACTTGCTTGGATATATTTTTCGACAATTTTTGCAGCTTTAATTAAAATTATCTTAGTGTTCTTTTTAAAATTCAATAGAAGATGCTAGATAAATGAATATTATTCCATTGAAATGATAAGTCTCCTATAAAACATTTGCAGAGGTGAAACACATAGTGATGTTATGAAAAACAATTTTTCTCAAAAATATAAGACGAAATTATTCACTCAAAATTGATAACATAAATGCAATAGAGAAAAACATCTTTTGTAGAACTTTAAAAGATCTATGAAAAAAGAAATAGAGGAGGCAGATCAAACGAATTGATTCAGTCATCTATAGATAATCAGATCAAAGTGAAAGTTTTGTAAATCTTCTAACTTTCTTCTTAACTGATGATTTACTTCGAAAATATTGATATCAAATGCGATCAAAATTTGATGCTTTTCTTTAACTAAAAATTAATTGACTAAAGACAATAGTTCCTTGAAAAGAGCAACAACAATTATATTCGATATGGAAAGAAAAATGCATGCGTAGTCTGTGGAACCATGAGTCTTCTTTAAAAGACAACAGTTGACGAAATTAACTTTATCATTCACTGGACTTATCTCAATGTACGAGGAAACAGTAGTTAAGAAAAAACACATTTTTTATATGAGCGCATTTTTTATTGATAAATTTACTAGCAATCAAAAAATTTGTGTATAAGTACTACATTGTATGGAAATAACTATTAAGGCTAATGATTCAAATGTTTCTTTGACTAGTGAATACTTCAGTAGGAATTAACAGACATGTTTTTTTTTGTTTTGTTTTCAATGCATAGTTTTTAAAACAATCAATGACATAACTATTAACTATTTCTACCAGCGTTCTGCAAGATTTCAGCATCATCATTTTAAAGATCGTGACCTTGCAAAGTTCTCTTTTTTTTTTGAATAACTTTTGAAAAATTGATATTCCAACTGAATTTCGTCGATGGCGAATGCCTGAGAAAGGATGTCTTTGCAAGAGTTCAAGAAATGTCATATTGGAGAAAATCAGGTAATCTTATATTACAATAAAACAGACTTTGCTGACATTAAATGTGTGGCAATAAAATCGGATTATCGAGTTTATGATCCTGATGATTCTTAAAAGTAGATATCAATGACAATTATTAGCTAGAAAAATGTGAATGAGATTGATTGATCTATTCAGAAGAGACAGACAATAAACTGTAACTGTGGAAAAATATTTTCTTAGTCTAGAATATTTTCAACGACTTGTTTGTTGAAACAAAACGCAAACTAAATTGATAATTGTCCCAAAATCAAAAAAAAAGAAACACTTCTTCAGAAGAAAAAGTGAAGAATACAACGAATTCCTAGACAATAGAATGTATGGCTTTGTAGATGAACCGGAAACTCACACCTTATTGTATATATTTCTGTTTAAATTAAATTTTACAAGAAAAAATTTCTCTATTTTGTATCGTCACATGTATGCAAAGTTTACTGTGTCAACAACAAAAAAAAATATTTGAAGCAAAGTTAGAACACAAAATTTAAATCACGAAAGTAGATTGTGAGCAAAAAAGTTTTGAAGCTAATCGTCTCTTCTATTCTCAGTAATGAAAATAGAACAGGATTCAACATCATACTATTCATTGAAACAACGACTTCTTCCATAAACAGATATTAGTAATTTTGAAAAAATGAATAAATATAGATAGGCATATGAAAAAAAAATGATTAGCTAAGATATAATCATTTTTGTAAAGTTGTGATGTTATATGTGATTATCAAACGATGTTCGATGGAATATTTTGCAAAGCGATCAATTTACATTTTGTAAACATTTACCAATAATCCAGAAGTAAATTTTAAAAAAAGTTAAATAAATTTAAAATAAAATCTAAATATGTTTCAAGTATTCTAGAATGTGTTTACAAGCCTTTTAGTATCTTTAGAATGTAACAGGAACATGGTGCGATCATTTTCTTACAGAATATTCTTTAGTGATGATCGGATTTTCGTTATTTATGATTTATTTTTTCTGAAATCTTGCATTTTGATGATTGTATTGCTGAGTTTTAACTTATGCTTTTCATTAAAAAAAATCTCAGAAATTTACAATCTAAAATAATTTTACAGGATAATATCGCGCTTGTCAGGCATCGAACTGAACTCAAACCTGTGGAAGTTGGTTTGATTCCTTTCCCTGATAGTTATCTTTAAATACTGTCAATGATGAATTGCTTTTTACATTAAAATATTCAATTGTTTTTCTTTATTATGAAATTTTTTTTGTATTGATAATAAAATAATAAAAAATACGAATAATAAATCAAGAAAAAAGAATTATTATTCGAATAAAAAGAAACAATTGTGTAGTGTGAGACTTTTTGAATTTATCATTTTCAGTAGATTTTCAGAAAACAGTTCAATAGGATGAAGTATGGTAGCTGCTTTTACATATAATCTACTAAACCAAAACGATTCGAAGAGTGTAGATGTGGTTAAACGGCATATCAACATCTATACTCACATTCTTCTTGATA